TTTCAGAGTGAAAATCCAAGTTTGCATAAAAATTCTGTCTCAATCTTAGCTTGAGAAAATGTCTCCCGTTACGATTGGAGAAGGAGGCGTAACCAGGTAGACATTGTTCGCCCTCTAGAACACTCTACGTGTTGCCTTTCTACTTTAGGGTTTTGAGGCACTCACAATTAGTGAATTAGCTATGCTTGTTGTATTCATAACCTCCACGACATTAGTAGACTTATACAGCGTATTCACAGGCATGGTATGAAGTGTCGCTGATCGGTAGATGTCAAAGCTACTAACCCATTCTGATGGCGCTTACTACAACAGGAAAGATCAGTTACTATACAGCTTACGAGCCAGCGAGTCCCTGGAAACAAGCAGCGCAGCTTCACACCCCGCCCGCTCCCCCACTCTCGAGGCGGGTTTCGTAGGGAGCACGTGACGAAGGTAGTGTAAAAACAATTCCATTCAAAAGACTCAGTAAGCGAACCCGAGAGGTGTTGAAACGTCACGGTTTCCTTGTAGTTCGAGCTGCCCGGTTTGTTGCTTCATTGTCCTCACGACGGTGCTTCGTGCAGTAAACACCTCTGCAAATAAATTAAGAATTTTAATCAGTCGATTTGTTCTTGAATCCTTCAGGGATCGTAGGTGTTATGGTCTGAGTTATGGTCAGACGAACACGAAATTTACAACGAATGAACCGCCCCAGTACTTACCACTTACAGCTCCCCATCGGAACGTGTGAGAAACTAGGTTAGAAAACTTGGATGATTTTGCTTCATATTCTTGTTCTGTGCTGTACCCTCTCCTGAAAATAGCAAGCGAGAATGGCAGTTACTTTTTCCCTAAAGTCGAACATTAGGATCGTACTCGTGCAAGTCCTTTTTCATGGACGCTTGGCATTCCAAAGGGATCTCCGAAAACGTCATTTTCCTGTTCAGTTGGAGACGACTCTCCTAAGAGCAGTTGGTTTACTTGCGTGAATCATATCCGCTGCATGGAGTCTTGTTCGCTGTGGACGCTTGGGCACGTCAGTGGGCATGGCGCGGCTTCGCCCAGTTTTCCACTAGTTGTGGTCAACTGCCAGCTTCCACAGTTGGTGGAGGACGAGCCGCGCAAAAATCTACCCTTAACACGTCCCATATCCGCAGCGGACAAGTATGTATCTAGGACACTCTCCAGCTTTTCTCTTCTTGTAACCTCTGCCTGTCAGTTTGTCAGTTTTCTTGTTTACTTGGTATGTAATGTCTCCCGAGTGTGCCGGGCAGTTGACTATGTGTCCGATTCTCTTGCAAAATGCTTGAGCGTATACACTATAAATTGCAAACGCATCTCATTGCTCACCTATAGAGGCTATGCGAGATTATTATTGGTGGGTCACAGGGAGTTATGGTACCTGATTGGGGCTGATTCTTGATCAACTTTGTACGCAAACCATCTTTTGCAAGTCAGTAGGAGGGATGCGTGATCGCTGAGAAGCTGGATCGAAAAGACTTGGTTTGGCTTGTATGGAGATTTGAGCCGAATATTCATTGCGAATGGGAGTTTTTGATCTTTCAATGAACCCATTTTCTTTCCAGCACAACCTAGAGCAAAGTGTTACACGAATTCGGAAACTTGATGATCTCCTCTGTTCAGAAACGCAGCGCTTTTTCTGTAGGCCTACTGGTCCAAAAATTTGAATCCGCTGCAAGAAGAAGGTTCCCCACGCCTACATGTTCATGTAATAGGAAACTACTCGGAGATACACCAGTATTCGCAGTTTGCTTATGCGTTGCAGTTAAGTTATCCTGACCGTCCGTTTACTGTAACTTCCAGTGGCTGAAAGATAGATGAGGACTCACAATATTTTCGACCCTCCTGGTAAGCACTTTTACAAGGTATGCTGCGAAGACTTCCATCTGCATATCGTCCACCTCGACAAACCAATCGACGTCGCCTCTCTCTTCTCTAATCTTCCAGCAGCAAAATGGAGTCCGTTCCAATGGTAGCGGTGACATCTCTACAGAGAGGAATCGACAGTCAGTCGCTGCACAGCAACGTGAATCTTACAACCTTTCTCTTTAGCTTTCTTTCGACAGTAAATGAAATTCATGCTCCGGAATTGATCAGCTTTGAAAGTCATTACGCATTTGTAGCTGAATGAAATATATTTTGAGCTTGTGGCTAGAACGCTCATCTACTCTCTGGTGATCTGAGTGATTTCGATATTAGATATTATACACAGACATTATAACATATACATGTCAAAGATATTAGCAAACTAACGGTTTCGTTAGTTTCGAAATATTCTTCAAAACTACTTTGCCAATAAAATTGTTCCGTAGTAAAGTTCGGCTTCTTTTGGCGACCTAAACTTGAACACAGTTGCACATTAGTTGAATGCATACTTTGCGGCTATCACAGTAATATTCTATTCTGTGAGCCAAGGAATGCATCAAGATTTGGGCTGATGTGCCGATTTCGTTGCTCAAAGCTGAGTTGGAGCAGGGTCAACCGCGTGTCATGGATTCCACGGCATGGTTTCCATAACACGGTTTTCACATCTAACTTATGGGGAGGGCGAGAGAGTCGCATATATTAGGTTGTCCGGAAAGTTCTTAGCGTTTTGGGTGTTTAACTTTAAACGATCATAACTTTCTTAACACTCATCGGATTTAATCCAAATAAGCACCATTCGAATCAGCACACTTTTGCCAATGTGACAGCAGTCGAGAAATCCCATCAAAGAAAAAACTGGGTGGTCGAGAATCCACGAAGGCTTTTTTGCCTGGTCCTGATTGATGAAGTATTTCTCAGCAGGAAAGTTCTGAAAATGTCTGAAAAGGTGACAGTCGGTTGGTGAAAGGTCTGGAGAATATGGTGGGTGAGGTAGAACTTCAACTCCCAATTCGTTCAATTTATGGATAGTGATTTGTGAAACGTGTGGGCGGGCGTTGTCATGCAAAAGAATCGGACCCTTTCTTTTGATAAGTGTTGGCTGCAGCTGACAATATTTTCGGTACATTTGGTCGGTTTGTTCACAGTAGGGTTCTGCTGTGATGGTTTGGCCTGGTGATGAAAAGTTATAGTGGATTACAACAGCCGATGACCACCAAACCTGACCAGAATTTTTTTTTCGCGAGGGTTCGGCTTTGAAAATTACCTCGGTGGTTCCTCCAAATCCAACCACTGTCCGGAACGTCTCCTGTTATCATACATGATCCATTTTTCATCACAGGTGACAAATCCGTTCAAAAACGGGTCAATTCTTTTGCGCAAAAGCAGTGAAGAAGGAACCTCGAGACGTGCCGATTCCTGCCGGTCACTCCGATTGTGGGGCACCCAATTGTCGAGTTTTTTCACCTTCCCAATGCGTTCCAGACCATCTGCAACAGTGGATTTGCCAAGGCCTAGCTCTTCTGCTATCTCTCGAACTGTTTGGGATGGGTCAGCCTCAAAATCCCCCTAAAATCCTCGTCAGATATTGCTTTAGGTCGACCGCTATGAGGTTCACCTTCAAGGCTGAAATCTCCAGAACGAAATTTGTTGAGCCATTGCCGCACAGTGCTTTCTCTAGCACTATTGGGCCTCCACACCTGGTTAATTTGTTGAGCTGTTTCGATTGCGGATTGCCCCAATTTATAGTCGAAGAAAAAATCGTCCGAAGTGCTCTTTTCACATGCTTGAAAAAATCTTGAAAAAAGGGGTTTATCAAGCAATGGTGAAACGGCAATTATACCATCAGATAGCGCAAGAAATTCTCTACAGGATGTGCTACTGAGAAGCAAGGCAGAATGAGTTTTTAATCAGCAGTGAATGTACAAAAAATAGGTGCACAAAACGCTGAGAACTTTCCGGACAACCTAATACATGTGCAGGTGCGCCTAGTCAAGAAAAATGACAGTTAAGTCTCGCCAACTTCCCGGAGTTCCTTCTGTTGCAGAGGGGTGCCGCTCTCATTCAAAAGCCATTCGGATGTCAACTCTCTAGGGTTTCTCTGAGAGACTCTAGTCTTCCTTCGTTTGAAATTTGACTAGGGCTGCATTCATACTTACCTCAGCAACTCAAAAAAAACAGTGCACAATTGGGACTTGCATGACTGCGCTCCTCCATTGTAAGTACTGATTCATAGTCAAGCTTTTTTCGAAAACTGCGGTAGTACAACGACCGGTCGCGGTCGCGCAAATGAATCGCTTTCGCCGTGAAGTATGAAACATGTTCGTATCAAACTTTTTCAGAGGATAAAAACACTGACTTATTCATTGGCTAGGTCTGCAAGACCTCGGATCGGGCCAGAAATCATCCGTGTTATCACGTTTCAAATGGAACCAGAACGCGAAGAATATAAAGGGGAAGTGAGCAGTGGCAAATCTCTACCCAACAGTTCTTCAGTGGGCGAGTTGCATCATCTTTAGTATTTTAGGTGTACCATAGGTTACTTACCATCACCGGTCGCATCACTAAATAGTACTACATTGATCTCTCTGTTATCTTTGATATTCGTCTTGTTAGATGCACACACGAATCGTCCATCGATGGTTTGGATCATATCGTTCGAGCCGCTGACGAGGGTTGTCTAATCACAATTAATCAGAATTTTAAGGTGAAAGAACTAGAAAGAAATTGGCCCGCAATAATACTGGACTAATACTAACCGGTAATGCTTCAACTTGAGTCAGGAGGGTGAGCGACGCTATGTGCTTATCATTATTCAGTCTAATGGTATTCGATTGACTGGAATCGTTGAAACATTAACATAAGTAAACGGAAATAGCAACTGCAAAGTAGATTCTACTGCTTCTCCGACGCCCTATGATGATCTGAATGTGTAACAATGGAATGAGGCTTCATTGCCTCATTTCGAAAGGCCTGAAGGTCCAAGAGATCCTAGAAAGTTTCTCGAAATCTGTCCCTGCGATGGAAAGCTCGAGAACATCACCTACACGTAACACATCCTAAAGCGCTCAAACTGATAAGTGATGTAGGAGGTCTTGCAAGGAACACCATTGGTAGGAGGCAGGAAGTGATAAGAGCTGATAAGATAACATAAGGAGCCTTAGAAGGGAAAGGCCACCAAATCCATAGGGGGCAGGATGGAACATTATTGGTGGGTGGCAGGAAGTGATAACAGCTGATAAGATAGCCCCGAAAATTCACAGCAGAGTTGTAGCAACACTGGGGAACTGCTCCAGCAAGTAATTCAGAGGTGCTCAGGGAACATTAAAGGTGGGAGATAAATTGAGAGTGTCCGACAAGGTTCCGTTTTGGGATTCCGTACATGCTCACATCACCGTGGCTAAATAATCAAAGGATTTGTGAGTCAAGGTTTTCTATCCCTTGGCAAAACCTCTCAAACTTACATACTTTTGTGTCGACATGACTCCATTTCAATGGAATAAAAATCGACAAAAATTAATAACCCAACCACACGGTCTTATAGAGCAGAAAATTATCTATCAAACGGTGTAGACATTGGGGAAGAAAGCCATTACTCATGGGCCAACCCGATAGAACACAATGGTGTAGCGTTTCATCTCCAGCGCAAAATTTCAAGTTACAAAACAGCGTCATTACTTATGGGTCCACCTAGCACTTAAATTTTTCGGTGCATGAGGGGAGGAAAACCATCTCACCTAAGCACATCCCCAACCGTCTCGATTGCTCTTTGAATGTCAGCACTTTGCCCTCCTTTTGATTTTCTTTGCAACCCTAAAACCTCAAAGCCTTGTTTTTTCTTTGAGAACGTCGTTTTAAATTATAATATAAGCGTCAGCTGTGCTGACTTTCGAGAATAAGCTTCACTCCTGCGAGTCTCTGTACTGGAGCCGCCAGAATGTCGACTACTCGTTGTCGATGAAATTCGGGTTCTTTCTCGAGACTCTGCAAATAGAGATTCGACCTATTCAATGTAGCAGTGCTACAGAACGTCGACTCTCGCCGCGTCCCTCAAGCGATTGGCTCCCCCTGTGCTTGTAACAGTCTAATCAGCTAACTAGAAATATTCTGCAAGTGAGCGCGAGCACGATACCGTTACTGGGAAGTAGCGATTCACATCCATCAACATCGAAGTACTTCGCTGTATTGTGCAGCTATCCACGAGCAAAATTTGCTTGAGCTAATCTATGAATGCGTACAGATGCTTTATAGTGTAGTTCGCTGCGGACGGTTGGGCGTGTCAGGATGAGTTTGGCGCGGTGCCAAACCCGTTCTCCACCAGCTGTTGAAGCGAGCAAGTGACAAGACTGTATCATGTCGTTCGTATCACTCGTTTCCCAACAACTGTTGTTGCGTAACTGCTTCAACAACTGGCAGAGAACGGGTTTTTTTCACCGTGGCACACTTATACAGCCTGCATGCCCCCTACAGTATGTCATGTACGTCCACATTGCTTCTGACTTATTTGCTCACCACACTCTGAATTCGAACATCTGCAGAGAGAAAGAGATTGCCAAAGATCGCTCACTTC